GAGTGGAGAGGGAAGGGCTCCAAAGGGATGCAGCACTGTGAAATGTTGCATCACACCACTGCCATTGGAAATCCCCCACAGTCATGATGAGTGGGATGGAGGAAGGCAGTTGGCCTAGTCCAGATGAGAAGAGACTTAGAGGGTGGTTTCATCTACATGGTGATGTGGGTGGCTTTGTGGAGCACCAGCTGCTGGCATCCCCAGCAGCACCCAGTGGTGGTGGCCCCAGCACACTAAACCCATGTGCTGGTTTGCCCACAAAGGGCAGGGAGAGATTTCCAGAGAAAACTCTTCACAGTGACCTTCTCCTTTCATACAACACAAACTCAGCATCCTATTCCACCCAGCCCATGACAGCACTGGGGAAAAAAAGCAACAAAGGAGCTGACATAGGCAAGCATGATAAAAATCCTGGCTGTGCACTTGTGCCCAGTAGGACTTTCCCTTCATTTCCACAGATGACAAAAAGCCACCACAGAACTTCAAGGGCCCTTAAGCAGAAGCTGTCAGAGCCACAGATGAATGCCCCAGTTCTTGGTAATACTTTGAGTGGGTGTCTGGGCTGTGTGAACACCCCTCGCATTGCACAAATGGAGCAGAGGAAAATCCCTGCCTCTGTGGGCAAAGGCAGGTGTGAGGAAGGACTAACAGCCAGAACTCAGGTGCTGCTTACAGCTCAGGCGAGCAGAGTGTTCAGGATGAGGTTTAAGTCTACCAATTGTCATAGAATCTATCAATCACAGATCCATAGAATGGTTTGGGTTAGAACGGACCACAAAGCCCACCCAGCCCCAAATCCCTGCTATGGGCAAGGCTGCCACCCAGCAGCTCAGGCTGCCCAGGGCCCCATCCAACCTGGCCTTGAACCTCCAGGTATGGGGCACCCACCACTCTCTGGGCAGCTGTGCTAGGACCTCATCACCCTCTGAGTAAAGCCTGTCCAGGTCTTTTTGGATGGCATCCCTTCCTTCTGTCAAGTCCTCTGCCTGTTTCCCTATACTGGGGGACAGTGAGCTCTTGCCCTCTCAGAAAGTTATCCTTAAAGAGGTGACAGCTCTGCTTCATTCCTTCTGCTTCCCAGCTTCCCAGGAGATCTCATTCAATAATTCTTTAAACAGATGGAGTTTTGCTCTTCTGAAGTTCAGGCTCCTGACTGAAGGGGAGGCACAGGGGGATCTCATCCCTTTGGATAGATGCCTGAAGGAAGGCTGCAAAGAACACCGAGACAGCCTTTTTTTTAGTGGGGCCCAGGAATGGGACAAAAGGCAATGGGCACAGAGGAGATGCAGGAGGTTCCTGCTGAGCACCAGGAAACAATTTGTCATTGTGTGGATGACGGAGCACTGCCAAAGGTTGACCCAAGGCTGTAGGGTGTCCTACTTGAAGATCTTCAAAATCCACCTGGACCCACCCTTCAAAACCCATCCTGGGCACCCTGCTCTGGTGTCCCTGCTTGAGCAGGGATTGGACCAGATGGACCCTGAGGGCCCTGCCCACCTCAATTGCCTGTGATAGTTATGTTTATACTCTGTGTTTCAGAACCCTTGGCTGAGAACACTTGGCACCGCAGGGGCATGTTGTGAAAAATGAGCCTGGAACTATTTATGGGAAAGGTATAAAGGGAAAACTCAGAGGCAGAACTGGGAGCAGGAATGCCAGATATTTACACAAATTCCATCTGGGTATAAACTCTGTTCTAATGCTCTCTCCTAATCAGAAAAGTCACAGAATTAGCAAAGACCTTAGTGCTGTGATTCGAGTACTGTTGAAGCATGAGCCAGGTGGTCAGAAATGTGTGGTGGAGAAGTTCACACCGTGCTGCTCTTGAGCAGTTTTCCACCCAGAAAAAGGCAGTGCAGTTGGTAACTGCAGACACACTGGTGCTGGTGAAATTCAAGGCCTGTGGAAGAGGACGTAACTTTCAGCAGAGCTGTACTTCAGTATTTGCCTGCAGTCTGTGCTGAGTGGCTTGAAGGCAGCTGTGCACGTGTCCTTGTCACAACTGATTTCCTAAGCAAATCCCTGGAACTCAGAGGTGGGCAAGAGTTTCCAGAACACCGGTTTAGCTTGGCCAATAACTCTTTGGTGGCTTTGAACGTGAGCAGTTGGCAGCTGTGTGCATCAGAACCTCTCAGATGTTAGCACTCTCCTTTGTTCACATTTCTGCACTCACTCATTTGTCTCATGAGGGTGACAAGTCAGCTCCAGTTAAAAAAAAACATAAAAAAACACCAACAAACCATCAGTTGTAATGGAAAAACTGCAAAAGCAGGCATCCACCCTGTATTTCTTGTGAAGGAAACATCAGTGATTGTGGCATGAGGGGAGCAGTGCTTCCTCCAGAGACCCTGGCTGAGCAGTGCACAGACTGTAGTGGTTTTAAGGAAGTCTGGATTCACACAGGAAGAGCCTTAAACCAAACTAACCAACTAAAGGAAACCTAACAGAGTGATGTGAGGTCGTAAGCACTTTACTGACCATAGCTTTATCCATCTTGTCTCATAGAACACTTTCCTGAGAATGCGTTCCTCCTCTGGATGTGCTCTGCAGAGGGAGTTTCTCCCTTTCTTTTCCAGCACATAAGAACTGAGCAAGGCAAATCTTGATGTAATTTTGAGGAATAATTGCATTCACAGACAATGTTTAATTATGACTTTGGAAGCAGTCCCAATAATGTTTATCCCCAGCTATTCTTGAGAAAGAAGCACTCATAGAATCTAAGATGGAAAACCGAGTGTTTGCATCAAAAGAGTGGTTGAACGCTGAGTTTACCAGCATTTCATCTTTGTCTCTCTTCTCATTTTCTGTATGTTTCCAGCACTATTAAGACTGCCAGAATACCTTTATAACTAGAGCTGGTCATTGAGGAGTTTCCTTCTCCTAACACGATGCAATTTCTCTGCCTGGTGGCTTCAATGAAGGTGCACGTCTCTGTCCATTTTGGATGTATTACAACAGAGGCTGGAGATGTAGGACAGTTGCTGGGGTGTTAGAATCAACACCACAAAAACGGGGTAACAATAAAATGTTGAGGTAGGCACGCCAATTCAGCATTTAATCTGTGATCCATTTAGTTAGGTTTAAGCAGGCAGTGCCTTTTTCTCACTTACCTCACTGATTTGCACTACTCTGCCCACCATCACCGCAGTTACATTCAGAGTTGTTATCCTTGGAGATGTAAGCATCTCTTTACCAGGTTGTTAACTTCTATATTGGACTGACAACTCAGATTCTCAGCAAGGATAAGAGTTAATCCTTAGTGTCTAAGTGTGCATGTTCCTGCAATGTGCTCCTGCTGCTAAGAAGAGATAATGTTATCCTTGGCTGCATTAGGCAATGGCTTGTTAGCACTGAGAAAATGTAATTGCCTTTCTTCAGTGTTGGTGAACCATGACTGGAAGTGCTGGGCACAGTTCTGGACCCGCTGGTACAAGTTACATGGAGATAGCTGTGAGAGTCCAGGGGAGAATCAAGATGGTGATGAAGGGAGGAGAGCACCTCCCCTTTGAGGAGAGGCTGTGGGCTGAACTGTTTGGGGAGGAGAAGGAAAGGGGCCAGCACACAAGCAATTGCTGTTTTTTGTGATGCAGAAACGTTTGTAAGAGCTCATTTCTACATGGTTAGTTCATGGCTGAGCTGGGAAGAGCTGTACCAGGTGATTGCAGAAGTAATGTTACTTAATCCTCCTTGTTATTGCAAGGTGCAGTTCTAAACTACCTCTCTGTTGCAACCTTACGCAGCTGTGTCTATTTCTCCACCCCCATACTTATTTCTGCTTCTCAGCTTCCCTGCTGCTCTGTTGTGTTTGGCTTTGTGTGCAATCCCTTTTTACAGTGCCTTAAGAATCCTGTATTTTGCACACTCGAGTGTGCTTCACTTGTCCACAAGGATGAGTTCTCTTGTTGTCTTTCATTTGGCACTGTGGGGGCTCTTTGCTGGTAAGCAACATGCACATGTTTATGTGTTTTGATATCTTCTGATAAAAGAATCCTTTTACCTTGACCCCTTTGTGCTTTCTTTCTGAAATGAGCCAAGCAGCGTACCATACCTGCATCAAGTAGGCCATGTGCAAGTAGAGCAATTGGGGTTCCAAAGTGATGTGCAATGCAGCAAAGAAATAAATTCACTTAAAATTCCTTTACCGTGTCTGTATTTCTTTTGTTGTTTTTCATTTTGGAGAAGAGAAGCAGGCTTATATTCCCTCTACTATTAATCTGTTGCATATGCACGGCACATCTGATGTGGGATGCCTTTGGGATTTTCTGGTTCACACTGATTTTCCTCATCTTGTGTTTGCATTAGGTGTTGTGAATGTACTCCTGACCACTCCTCTCTGGGTAGTGAACACACGGCTGAAGCTGCAAGGAGCAAAATTTAGAAACGAAGACATTGTGCCGACCAATTATAAAGGCATCATAGGTGAGCATCTGTTGTCCTCAAACAAGGAGGAGCTCCTGCAGTGAAATCCCACAGCAAGGACTCTGAAGATGAAAGACTCCTATCTGTATAACAGATCTCCTTGTGGAATCTCTGTACTCCCTTATCACTTTGCAGTTATGCAGTTTGACGGGAACCTGGACTGTGCCACCTCTGATGGTAACTGAGAGTTTGGTCTGCGCACATGTAACCCCAAGGCTTTCTGCAAAAGCACACGACATCTTATCCAAATCCTGCAGGAGCCCAGTGAGCCCAGCAGTGTGCTAGCTGGGAGGTCTGCCTCTGGACAGACCACTTGCCAATTTACTTTTTACTCACTGTCATCTCTAACCCACCCACGCCTTCAGGCTGCCTTGCTCTGTACGGAAAGAAGAAGGTTGTTGGGAAGAGGGTTCAGAAACTTAACATTGATTCTGAGCTTGAAGTAGAAAGATGAAGGCACCTGCATGGCTGGCAAGCTTTACTCACGCTAAGAGCGGTGTGAGGAAGAACCTCCTCTGTCACTGTTTTGCCATTAACTTCCCGTTTAGAAGAAAGGACAAAA